AGATGATGATAATAATAATAATAATAATAGTAGTGGTGGTGGTGGTGGTGGTGGTGGTGGTAATGTTATTATTCGAAAAATGAAGTTAAAATAATCAAGCATGCACACACTACTATCACGATAACGACGACGACGATGATGATCACTCAATAACTGAACAAATTGTCGAAGCATTGGATCCATAGTGTCGAAAAGTAATTGAGATATCGGTGAATGATGAAACGAACGAATGAATGATAGTTGTGGTTGTGGTTCTGATTTTTTTTTTGACCACCATATGTCGAGTCGTGAACGCGCATCGATTCTCAAATGCAGTAATGATGCAATGATGATGAAAAGCCTCAAATTATCGTAGAAGGCGACAATAATGAAAAGATGAATGGAAAATAATACACAGATATTCTTTTGGTTTGTTTGTTGTTTTTTTTTTACCATCATGATATTGAGTGAAAATATCAATGAGTAAAGAAGAAAATAATGATATTTTTTCTTGCGTAAAAATAAAGATACGGAAGGGAGATTTTATTTACATAATAATTGATAGGAGACCAAAGAAATAAAGGCGACGAGGGAAAAAAAAAAGGAGCAAAAGATGATAAATGTTCGCGGACACCCCAAACAAAAATATTGATTAAATTACATTCATTCCTGATAGTTACTAGTGTCCATTAGAAGAGAAAAAAAGCTAAAGACCACCCTCTCGTCACCGAAAGACAAAATAATAATAAAAAGATATTCTTTTTATTATATTGTACAAATTCCCACCCACTTGGCTTTTGATTATTGTTACGTATCGAGTGAAAGAACGAGCGAGCGCACATGAATTCATGTTATGATGATAATAATAATAATAATGATGTCCTACCTTCATCAGTCTGTGGGTTAATTAACACCAAGTCAAAGTCTGTACACTTTGTCATTTTTTGTGCAATAATAATTTCTTTCTTCAAGTCAAACACAGAGATACCGGTGCCCTCAAATTCGCACACCGAGTGATCTATTTGTGACTTGAACTTGTAATAAACTAATCCGGTTGTCATTTTCTGTTCTGTTATAGCCTTATTTTCTCCTATACGAACTACTAGTAATTGGCTGATCGAACTGAGACGAGACGAAAAGAACTGGACTAAATCCCCCAAGAGAGAAAGAAAATAAAAAATATCTTTTTTATTTTCTAACGTTCGTTGGTTGGTAAATTGAAAATAATAAATTTTTATTTTTTTTTATTTGTCGTTATTAAAAATTTTTGTAGTTTTAATATTAATATATGATTCGATTCTTTAAATTTACTTTGGCTGTTACTCTTTTGCTTTATATTTATTTATTGGTCTTTACTCTTCTCGAAAGTAAGTAATTTATTAACTAACTGACAGAGAAAAAACAAAGAATTAAGTTGAAGAAACTGAAAACTATGGCTGGTTTTGTAGAGAATAAAGGTATTTTGCGCCTCTTTTTATAATGATGGGCTGAGTATTGTTATAATAAATGGTAATGTAGCACAAAAAGTTGAATGACAAATCGATGATATCATTGGTTTAGGAAAGTAATATCGTTATTCTATTATTCTATTATTCTATTATTATACTATTATACTATTATACTTACTATTATACTTACTATTATACTTACTATTATACTATGTATTATACTATTTGCATTTTAAATAACTTAGTTAGTATTCTTTGATCTTGCAGTTGCTCTTGGAACAGACTCGAATTTCACATGAGTTTCCATACACAGTGACTGGTGCATCGAAAAAATCCCAGTAAAAAATTTTTAAACTCCATTATATCGAGTTTATTAGTAAATTTACTATAACGAGTGGATTTTATCAAAGGCGCTTTGGATATTAGTCTCCGTTATAAAGGAGGTATATACACTATAGAGCCACTGTGTATAGGTTTAATTGTAGACGTAGCACAGATTGTCATGGACATTTGTTGGGTTGTTGAGACACGTTATTTTTAGAACATACTCTCTTTTGATAAGTTGAAATGGAATTCGAATTAAATTTCAATAACTTATATAAAATACTAGAATGTCCTGTTTACTGCATTTCTGCACAGTAATTTACTGCCTTTCTGCGCAGCAATTACTGCAAATTCTGCAAATCAAAATTAAAAAATTTCGGGACGCGATATCTCGTCCAATTTGGACAAAAATAGAACTATTAGATTTATCTAATGGTTCTATTTTGTAATCATGTAATCATTTTTATAATGTAAATTGCAAAATCACATCATCATTATGCAAAAACCACAAATCACGTTATAGACCATACATTTGCAACACCATTTATTAAATATAATATATCCTTTATAATAGTATAAAATTCAATTTTTAAGATTATAGATTTGTGATTTTTAGTGTATCATTTAACATGCGGATAATAAAAATAAGTAGTAACAATTATGGAATACTAATATTTTTTTGTAATTCTTAAACAGAAATCTTCTTGAAATTAAAATATTTTATTAAAAATAATAAAATTAAATAAAAATATTATTTTTATCATCTTGTATAACTTTCTTATGTTGTTCTTTGTGTTAATAATTAATATTATATATCTTTTTTTATTAGAAATAAGATAATGATTTACATATCTTTATAATATATTACCAATAAATCAAATATTTTTTAATTATTGAAAAAAAATTTAATATATATATTAAATAAAAAGTAAGTTTTGAATATATATTTATTTTGATTCAAAATTTAAGAATTTAAATCTAATATAATGTGCTTTTTTCTTTAGCTCAAATAGACTTAAAATTAAATTATGTAAGATATTCAAATTAATATTCATTTATTTCTCACATAATATACTAATTAATTCTTGCTTTGATATAGATAATAATCTTCTTTTTAAATCTAATGATTCAAAATATCTCACAAATACTTAATAAAATTGAGATTAGAACTTTAATTAATCAATCTAAAACTTGAATATTATGAGTTGACATTTATTAAGTTGCATATATTAAAGTATAATATAATATATCATGTTATTAAAATATAATATTTAAATATTAATGAGTTTAGAATATAAAATATTTTACAAGAATATTAACATAAATATCTGAATTTATAATTTTTTCTATTAATATCAAAGAATTAACATTATTTTAATCAAAATAATCTTAAAATATTATTAATTTTCTGTTAAATTTAATATATTATTGATAATAAACTTTATCAGATTTTTATCATATTTTTATTTAGATATTTGATTAAAAAGTATAAATCTGAATTTATCAGATCAGATTATATTTTTCTATTATTTTTTTAATTATATTTCTTTTAATATTAATTTAATTAATAAAATTCTTAATTTGATATTAAAAAAATTTTTTTTTAAAATATAACTTTCAAATCTTACTTTATCTAAATATTTATAAATAATATTAAAATAGTAATATTAAGATTAATTTCTAGATCAATTTAAAAATATTATTCAAATATTTATATAGTTAAATTATTAATCAATTTTTATTTAAAATTATTCAAGAATCAATTTTGAATAATAAGTAATATTAAATTTATTATTTAGTTAATTTATAATTTTATCAAATAGTTTTTTAAAATAATTTATTATAATATTTACTATCAATATTTTTAATTAATTAAAATATTTTTTAGAATATAAAAAATTAATTTTTTTATATTATTAATAGGATATAAATAGATTTTTTAAAGTTAAAATACTAGAATCAAATTTTTTTGATTATATAAATAGCTTGATCTAAATTTTAATTATATTAAAATTAATATAAATATATTTATATAATAAAAAAAATATATTATTCTTTTAAAAGATAATATTAATAAATATATTATTAAATTAATTAAAAAAATAAATAAAATTATCAAAGTTTTTATATAAAATAGATTTAATATAAAATTATATAAAATTAAGATATTAAATTATTAAAATATATATATTATATATCAATAAATTATAAAAGATTTCTTTTAAAATGCTTACTAATATAAAGTATATTATTAATTTAAATAATTCTAATATTATTAATTTAATTATAAGTAAGCTAATAGATAATTATCTTAAAAATATATTAGATTATTATTTTATAAAATTACCAATTACTTAAAAAATAAATATATAGAATAAAAAGTTTTTAAAAATATTTAAATATTATTAAGTTAGATAAAATTTTAATATTTACTTTAATTTATTTATATATATTTAATAAAATTAATAAAATAAATTTAAATATTTTAATTAATATCTGAAAATAAAAAAAAAGAAATAATTATATTTAAATTTATAATTATTAACAAGAATTTTAATAAAAAAATATATTATTTATCTCATAATTTTTATAAATATTATCAAATTTAAGAAAGATAAGTATAAATAAAATAATTATTTTTTTTGAAATTCAAATAAATTAATATTTAAAAATATAACTTATTATGATAAAAAATATTTTTATAATATTTTTATAATACTTTTAAAGTTTTTTTCAGAAAAATTTCTCGCTTATCATTAAAAATAATATTTTAACTTAGATAAAATTCTTTAAAAAATTATATTACTAGTAAAAAAAATTAATAATTTTAAAGAGTTTAAGAATTATGAATGAATAATAAATATTTTATATATTATTATAACTAATTTTAAGACTGATAATAAAAAATAAAATTATTCTAAAAGAATAATAAAGTAAATATCAGAATATAAAGAAAAAATATATAAGTTTACTAAATAAAAAATCAATAATTTCTGCTATTTATTTATTAAATTAATATTAAAATATATAAAATTCTTTTATATATTTCTTAACTATTAAGATAAATTATATAAAAACTAAAAAAAATAAATAAAATTAATAAAATAGATATCTATTAGATTTGTAAGAATAAATTTATTATAAATAATAATAAAACATCTAAATTAGAAGTCAAATATAAAAAGCTTAATATAATATTAAATAAATTATTAGTAAAAAATTTAAAATATAATTTATTATAAAGAAAATTAAATAAGTTAAATAAAAAAATAGATGAAAAATTTGAAAAAAAATTTAGAATTATTATTATATTATAAATAAGTATTAAAAATTAGTTTATAATTTTTATAATCTTAAACTTTAAATTAAATTATAAAAAATTTCTATTCCAATTATTTTTATAATTTTAAAATTATAATCTTATTTAATTTATAACTTTATTAAATAATTAATTAATACTTATTAAATCAAGATTATAATTATGATATTTAAATAATATAAATTTATAAAAATAAATTAATTTAAGTATATTAATAAATAAATAATAACTTGATCTTATAAAAAATTTAAATAATAATTATTTAATAATAAATAAGTATTTCAAAAATCAAGACTATTTAAATATATAAATTATTTTAATTTATTATAAATAAGTTAAATTTTATAAATATATTAATTCTCAAAATAAATTAATTCTTAGAATAGATTTTTAAAAACTAAATTCTTATCAATTCATAATTATAAAAAAATTACACAAAAAAATTATATTTATATTTAAAATATATAAAAAAAATTTAAGTATAAAAATCTAAATAAGTATTATAATTTTTATTTTAAAATTAATATATTTAGTTTTACAAATATCTAAATCAAATTTAAAAAAATATATAAGTTATATTATAAATTTAATTCTAATTATTATATCTTAATATTAGTATTATTTTGAAATACTATACTTAAAATAATAAAAATTAAAATTAAATTATTTATAAATATATTTATAATATATTAATAAAAAAATTATTTTTTATTTTTATTATAATAATTTTATAAAAATATTTTAATTTTAATATAAAATAACTTATTTAAAAACTAAAAAACAAGATTTTTATTAGTATAAAAAATATATTTTATTAATAATTAATTCATTTATTATTAATATTTATTACTTATTGATAATAATTATATATTAATAAAATAAGATTAGTTAAAAATTTATTAAAAATATTTTCTTACTTCTTTACTATACATTACTTTAGCTTAGAAATATTACTTAATATATATTTTTC